ACTCGAACTGTGCCGCATTAAACTTTCACTGCACTCAAATAAATCTAATCCTGCATACAATTGTGTTTTCCACCCTCAATATGAAAACCTGTTTCAAAATCTATCAAACCTGGTTCCACCACTTGGAATCAGAATTCATCCACACATCACTGCAGCTAAAATATATTTAAATATTATATCACCTCACCGTCTTCTGTCTTCTCCTCCCTGGCAGATGGTGAAGCCAGGAGTAGACCTCACTCTAACTAATCTAACAAAGTCGAATACCAATCCTTTAGTATATCAACAATCATATAACCAATTACGCTCCAAATATGAATCTCACGGGTCCATTTCTACAGACGGGTTCAAGGATGGTGGCAAAGTTGCAAGTGCCACCATCATTGGATCCAGAACTGTCTCCTCAAGAATCCAAGATTTTAGCTCAATATTTACTGTTGAGGCAAAAGCTATCCTAACAGCTTTGACATATATTCAACAACAAAACCAATCTAAAAAATTCAGCATCTTCTCTGATTCGTTATCTTGCCTTCAGGCACTTAAAAGTGTCTCACCATATCACCCTATTATCCTTGACATTTTAGAACTCTATAATGATCTTTCTACTGGCCAATGTGACATCGTCTTTTGCTGGTTACCAAGTCATGTAGGCATAACAGGTAACTCAAAAGCCGATGCTGCAGCTAAAGCAGCTCTTGACAAAACGTTATCTCGACTTCTGATCCCGTACAGTGATTTCAAACCAACCATCAAATCTTATACTCGGAATCTCATGCAAAAGAGATGGGACACCCAAGTAGGAAGCAATAAACTACAGGAATTGAAACCAACAATTGGTCATACCTACTTGGGTTGTCAGTCAAGACATGACGAGGTCGTTTTACGATGATATGGTATTGGCCACAGTCGGTTTACACACGAATATCTGCTTAAGACAGATGAGGTCGAACCTCCTAAGTGTATCCCTTGTGATGAAAGGTTCACCGTCAAGCATATATTGCTTGTCTGTGTGGACTTCGCAATCGCAAGGGATTCACATTATCAAAGCGTAAATCTGAAAGATCTCTTTTCCCGTGTCAGCAGGCATCTCATTATCAGCTATTTGAAAGAAATCGGTCTGTATAATAAATTTTTAATATGTATGTGAATAAAGTGATGACGTAAATCCTGCTGGGGTATCATGCAGGAAGCAGAGGTACTGTAAGTCCCCATGATCCCCAGCGAGGTGGTCCAGCTTTGGATGCCGGTGGCCTAAAGCCCGTGTTTTAAAACTGTATTATATTGTTATGCTCAAATACGTTTTTTATAAATTGTTTTTAAATATGGTATGCATGAATTGATTTGAAATATTCCTTTGCTTAAATGACTCAAATGTTAACATATTAAACTTGGTCTCGTCGCTATATGGCTGAAATAATGCCAGTGCGACGTTAAATTTTAACTCACTCACTCACTGTTGAGTACAAGTGCAGACATAATAAACATGTACCTTGATCCCACACTTGCGCTCCATGCAATAGAATTTGGGCTACTATTGTATCAAATATTATGAAGAAAATCTTATATGGATAAGTTTTTTAAATGGTCAATAAAACCATGTTGGCCAGGGATGTTGTACTAAATTTTCATATTCAGAAAGTTAACTACCGTTCTTTCCATTCATTAGCAGACACATTAGTATTTTTCACAACATCTTACTAAAATATCATGAGCTGAGAACGCTGCCATTAATGTCCATCCTAAGAAACTTCACATAACATTTTAACATTTATGGCAATGGCAATTAACTTGACAAATACATTTCTGAACTGACACTACCACACTTGGGTTATAACTAAAGCGAAGGCACCACTGATTTTAGTTCGTTATAACCGTAGTTCCTTATAAGGATATATACAAGCATGTGAACAGGAAATGGCCGGCAGCTTGTTTTATTCGTCAGTTCCCTATAAGCGTTGTCGTTATAAACGTGGTTCACTGTACTTTTGAGTGGTTTAAGATTTACATTCCAATAAAACGACCGAATGCTAAATAATAATGTGGTATATTATTCTTATTATATGTACAGAATAACATAGAAATGCAGCAAAGAGGGTTTGGGTGATCCTGGCACAGTCAGGCTGGCTAGGCTCATCATCAGCTCAGGGCCCTTGTCGCCTCTACACGCAGCCCAGACAGCGAATGCGACTTCTCATAGGAAGCGCTTCCTTGTTACACCCACCCAGAACGTTTCGGTGAATGTGAAGCCTCCCCAACAGTGCAGCCTTCTGCATTGCCCAGATTGTCAGAAGGGACGTATTTTCTGGCAGTAAACCCGGGTACATTGAAGTCAGCCAACAGATTGGGAGGTACCAAACCTATGGTACCGAGAACAATGGGTAGTCGGACAACTTAGTACTTGGGATGCAAGCGTCACATTTCGAAAGCGAGGTCCGCATACAGTAAACTACGTTGATAACGAACATGCTTATAACAAACTTACCGATATAACGAACTTGTTTTTTAGTCCCGGCCATTTGTTCCATATATGCTGTTTATATGCTTATAACGATCTATGGATATTACGAACTAAAATTAGTGGTTCCTTTGAGTTCGTTATAACCATAGTTTACTGTATTTGCCATGTTTTTCCTGAATCTTGTCAATCATATTAGTGTCAAAAGGGACAGAAAATTGAATGATAAAAAATCATTGAATTTATCAAAAAGGACAAGATCAGGTTTGTTGGCCTGGATATTTTTGAGGCTGTATACTGGCATGATTACATTTTGATGCAAAATCACACACTGACGGTATCGAGGGGGAAGTGACTGGTCCTGAGCAGCAAACAGAAAGCCTTAGGTTTCACTTTTTAGGCCAGCCGACTTCATTCAAGTGAAGAACTCCCCTCTGTTGCAGATCCTTTCAACACACGGTTCATAAACTCGATGCAGTGGTCGTTCAGATAGCCTCTCCTTGACACACTGAGGCAGATTTGATATGGCACTTCGCCTTGGTTGCCTTGTTTCAAATGAAGAATGTTGTATTTGGCGTGTCTAAAGGACATAAGAAAAGGATTCGACAATGAAAATCTTTTTTTAGTGTGGATTCTCATTTGGCAAGAAGTTCATCCATGTAAAGGAGTTGAGGCAAAATGATCTGTGCTGAAGGGGTTCAGGATAATAACCTCCTCTTTTCTAAGCAAACCGCTTAAAGGATTCAAACAGAAAAAGCAAAGGACAATTCGTGCTCGAATAGAAATGAGTCCGAAGTCACCACCTATCCCTGCGAATACATCTCAAGTTGACTAGCAATTCCTTGCAGACTTGCAAACATTCGCTCGGGAATGTCAATACATCCCTGCGATTAATAAAATTAAAACAGCAGGAAGGTGAATTGAACACCTACCGTTAAAGATGGCTAGAACGATAGCGTCTTGTGGAGGGTGTAACCCCAACTTCTAACCATAGGTGCAAGGATAGGTGTTGGAGAGGCAACACGAGGGAAGGCGGGGTGGGGGGGAGGGAGCATCGTGCTGAGGTCGTCACAGTTTATCTCATATGAGAAGGCCAAACAAATCACCCGACATGTCCCAAATTGTGGATGTTCTTTGGCGGAGAGTGTGCGCCAGAGACGCAGTACACGCGTCCAGCCTGGAGGAGCTCTTCAAGGGCAAACATACTCAAGTTTATGAACAGTATGCCATCAAGGTATCACACATGTATCACTCAACATGTTGGACATATTGATCTAGACGCCCGAAATATATGTTACAGACAGTTATCGTCACCTTCACTATCATTTCATCGGTTAATTTATTTTTGACTGTAGAATAGTTGAGGAATTCCTTGTTGTTGCTCACGCTTTCCAAGAAGATCAACCGAAAAACAGATGTGCAAAAGTACACATGAAAACATTATCATGAAGCGCTTTCACAATAATTTCGCAACCCGACCCCAGAATTATTTAATTGCATGAAACCGATGTACCTAATGCCGATGTACCTAATGGTAACCATGGGTGTATAAAGATTTACGAACCATTTAATGTTAATCAATAATACAGAGGAGGGAAGGTCTCATGTGTTCGAGAACATCTTGATAGTAGGATATACAGTATTAAGGTTTGTACTTATACACAGGCATATATGGCAATATGTTTATTGACCAAATTGTGTATTACCAAACATACAAAATTCGCGATCAGTTGGCGGCCTCCTTCCGACTCTCAAATCACAACTTCTGGTGAACATACATTTCATTTCGGCCACTGTGATATTGTCGGTGGCCTTGACTTGACTATCTTGTATTTTGTAACATTCATAAATCATAAAAAACGTCACGTTAAAAGATGGATGGTTGGAAGATTGGTTAAGTGGAAATGGCCCTTTGGTATTTCAGTCGTAATCAATTTTATTATCCATAGGGTTATAAATAACTTTTAAATATAGCATGTGCACTGGTGTTCACATTAATAAACTGTAGCTGACTGTTTGAAAAGCAATGGCCCCAGCGACCGGATGACGAACTTATCACTCATTCATAAATGTTTTTTTTAAAAACGATAGAACATTGTATTACTTATCATTATATAATTTTGTCCAATAGGACGTTCATTCTAGGATTGAATATTTTATAAAAAAACATACAAAGACATTGAACTTGATTCACGAATAAATGTTATACATAATATATCTGAGAGTTGTATAATTCATAGGAGAAATGGTAAGTGAAATTTGTTTACACTGGAGACGACATGAGCACAAAGGCCACTCTTTCGGCTAATTGTGTCAACTCTCTTGTCAAAGTGAAAGGGAAAAGTTACCGAAATTATACAACCTTCAGGAACATTCAAAGTGTTTCTGAGTCAATTGCCCTTTGCTGATACTTCAGTCAAAATCATTGTGTGTTGAGATCATAATTTGAAATTTGAAACGAAAATACTGTGATGTTAATCTTTCTTGAGAGAAGAAAGCAAATCTTGTGTGTAATACATGTATTTATTTACGTCATACATTTTTCAGCTGATCTCCTCGGATTAGTGGTCTGTGCATATGTCTTTGTGATTATTCTGACAATAATCGTGGCGGTGCTTCTTTTTCACGAACACAGTAAGTATAAGTGGTTTCGTTAGATTTCAATGAGTGAAAGAGAGAGTAGTTTGGGTTTTCCGGCCCTTTTGAATAGTATTTTAATTATATGAAAGCGGGGAGGAAAGCTCGAAATGATTATGATGAGACACCTTTTGGTGAAACCAGTGATCAGAGGATTCGAACCTGCGATACTAGGTCTTTGTTACACCTAAGGGGCTGTGCACATCGAATTGCGAAGCCTCAGGCGACTGATCCACCAATAAGGAATGTAGATGATGAACTTCATTACCCTAATACACCATGTGTCGATTGTAACCAATGTATGTATGTCTATTTCAAGGCAATACGAAATGCAAAGTACCAGCATGTGTTATGGCCGCCGTATTGATCTTCATTTCTTTGCTGTTCATCATTCTACTGTTTGTGCTGCATGAAGGTGGGATACTGCAATTAATGTATTATTGATATGTTTTGATTCTTGTAGTCTATAGTGTACCTCTTATTAATGAAAGTCTAAACCTGCTCTCTTGAATTTCTGGACAGACTGAAATGAAGCAAAATCATCAAATCATCGTCCATCGATGTTATAATGTCAAAAGTTGCGTAGTTCTAATTGTGCATTCAATTAATATCCAATATATCCTAATGGCAACATTAACTTGTGTCGCAGTGTTACAGAGAAAGTAATGTTCGCCTCATATGTCTATTTGAAGCTTTCCAAAAATACACACCTGTTGATAATTATGCTTGAAAGTAGTAAGTTGTTATGAATGCATCAATGAAACTTTTATCAGGTACTTAATGTTACTTATTTTCTGCATTATATGTTCTTTGATGCCATCTCAAATATCTGCTCATCACATGTAAGCATGTAACACATTTTCCCTGGAAACAGTAATAATCAGTTCCAAATGAGAAATAAATGTAATCTTACAACAGAATGTCCAGCGGTCGATTATTGATATGACTGAATATATTCTTTGTTCTTTGTCGAATTGCACCACATATCTATCTCTCTTTTGTTTGTCTCTATCATAAATTAAAAGGTTGAGCGAGTAAGTTAATATATTAAGTCGCATCAGACATATTTCCATCATAAGGCCAAATCGATCGAGACGAAAAATTGTCATTGGCACACAAAATAATTGTTATTACAAGTAGGATGCTAACTTGTCTTTCTGTGGTCAATAAAATATACGTATGTATGGTTTAAAACCGTTTTTTTAGCTGACTTTTGTATCAATGAAATGAGATAAGACCAAAATGACAAGCGTATAAACCGAATACGGTATAAATGGATAATGTAAAACAATGTATACCAATGTATCGTTAGTAGAGTAAATTATCTTTATTCCTAATCCACACACAACGATAGGAGGTATTTGACTGAACTGAAATATTAATTGATTGACGTTAATGTTTCAATGTTATTTGATATTTCAGCTTGCTCAGATGCCAAATGTATTGTCGCTGTCATAATCTGTATCCTCGGACTTATCGTGGGAATAGTAGCAATGGGACGCCTATTCAGGGAAAAGGTATGCAAATGGTTGTCATGAAACGGCTATTATCTAAATCATTAAGAAATTAACACATTTTAAATTATCAACTTAATAGATCAGCACAGGTGGCCCAGGCATCTGAGGCGCCGCAATTCGCTGTGCAGAGTTGCGTCCCTTGGACAAGCCAGAAGCCTATGTTTGTGGGTTCGAATCCCGGTTCACCCCGAATATGTTTCTAGTTTTGTCAGCACCATACCCGTGCTCGTGGGTTTCACAGAAGTGATAAACGTCTAAGACCCGCATCTCTTCGGGCGTTCCCCCAACATTAAGCTGTCACGCCGTGATATAACTGGAATACTGTTAAAAGCGGCGTTAAACGAAACTCACTCACTCACTCACTGATAGATCAGCATGAACACATTATCTCAAATGAGTGCAAGTAAATATGATATTTGTTTCAGATAAGACAATGTTGCTGCTCCACACCCAGTGTCTGAAACTCGGCAGAGTAAACTGAGAGCCCAAGCTCTGTAGGCCCAAGCATTTTAGCTGAAGCAGGGAGCCATACTCATATATTACACACAACCAGTCAACATAAAGTCTTGACTGCTATCACACCGAGTTCCCAGAGACTCTGGTGATAAAATAAGCCTACATTTATGAAAGACATCTTTGATCGTATTGTTAATAAATATGAAAGTTATGTTTATCACAACATCTAAACAATGAATTTATTAATTTATTTTTTTGTAAAATAAAAATATAAGCAAACACATTCATAACGTCCAGATTTAGCACCAAGGAAGCGAGAATTATGGCGATTTTCGGCAATTTTAAGATTTCATAACGAGCTATCTCCCAACTTATTTCTCATTTATTTTTATTGTTGAAGTACTCGGGAAATGATAATAAATAGATTTTCTAGTACGATCTATCATTACATATTTTCCGAAAATAGTTGCTTTCCGCTCAGTGACATGAGAAATTACGGGAAATGCCACCGTTTTCGAAGCTTTGTAAAAATAATACGTTCGATGTTAGGGTTTGTTAGAAATCTCTGAACATCAAAAATGTTACAGTATGTTCGCGAGGAGTATTTTGTAACATGCAATTGTATGGATAGAAATTGGTTTCTTATGACGTTAATCTATTATACGAATCGTGATTGGTCAAAATCAAGCACATAGCCTAAGGCAGCCAATTAATTTACAGCAATGGATACCGTTCTCGAGTATGATATATTACATATTTAGAAGAAAGTCGTTAGTTTAATCGTGTTATTTTGAACGATTCAATCTAGAAATCATTACCTATGTTGAAAATATGAAACAGCTTGGACATATCGTGTTAGGTTACGATCTGTCACAAAGATTTTTCATGCATATATTTTGGCTTTAGATATCGTGTCTTAGCTTAAAAATCGAGGGCGACAAATGCAGAGATGCCATTTGACTTACAATACACGATCTCACGAAAAGACGGAAATTGTAACACAGATGTAAGTTTGATTTTTTTTTTAAAAGTGTTTGTTGATTTTAACTATTGCTTTATTTAATATATTTACGATTTGCTTGAAACGTCTTTATATTGCTCTTTGACATGTTTCATGTGTTGTCAAAGCATGTGTCTCAGATGTCTTTTGTTAAAAACATTGCTCGAAAAATTGCATAATTATAAATCTATTGGTATAATATGATACATTGAAATGAAATACGCATTTTTAGACTTTGTGAAAAGTGAAAGATTTAATAAATAAATGATATGACCGGTAGATCTATGAAACTATATATTATTTTGAAGTGGCGACGTTGTGGTCGGTACGTCGACCTGCGGTTTGGAACGAGTTAACGAGCTGAGTACTTTAATACTTGGCCCTGTTTCACCAAGCAATCTCAGTGTTTTTTATAATTCGTCTCCAATGTTTGCAGCTTAAACAAAACTATCATCCCGAGAACACATTTGTCGGCATCGGGCCTAGAGGCCGAAGTCTATTTGACACTGTCCACACTGTCACCAATTAACCTCACTGACCTTGTTCACAGATATCAACCTGGATAGCTTTATGGTTATTACAAAAGACAATTATACGGCATATGTCCTGAGGGAGATGTGATTTTCAACCATCTCTAACGAGTATTAACAATGTTAAAAAACTTACATGTTCAAGTAGTGCTAATTGTTTACATATTCAGTATACATCAGTGGTGTCACTTTGATGGCATATGCATTGGTGCCATATCATACTGAAACATGAGTTTCATTTTTATCTCTTTTTGTATCTACAGTCTCTCATTTTTTTATATTATTCTGTCCATTTGTTTTAGAAAGGATAGTGGAAGTGACATGTGATATAGATGGAAGATGTTGTCTGACATATTTCAGTAAGACACAAATATGGTCTTTTTTTATGAGAACCTTTTTTGTCGTTTCCGTTTTGGCTACGTTGTTGAATCTGTCATAGCCTTAATGCAGATAGTCACTGTGGACATTGCAAAACACCTTTTCTTATTTGTATAAAAGCTGAACGATCGTGTACAGTTCGAAATGGTAGACACCTCGATTAAGATATTATGTATATGCAGGTTTAACTACACATTATATACCGGCTGTATGTATATCAATAAGCTGTGGGTGTATGTTATATATATGTTCACCTCAGATCATATATAGTGTGTAGTAAACACTATTATCTTTATGTAATTTATATTGTAAATTGTTTACTATAATGCCTAACATATGTCAACACTATTTACGCGCCGGCTGAAGAACACTTTGGCAGGTGACAATGATTAGGGCGTTTTTTATCTGTTAACACGAGGGCGGCCTAGCTTGTAGTAATTCATGATTTTTGTCTGATAGCAAATGAATAAAATAGAGTCGAGTAAATATATCGCCCATTACTATGTTAAGTATGTGTCGCATGTACAATGACAAACAAATTCCTTATTTGCATATGGTCTTTTGGAAGAAAGAACGCTCATCTAGCATACAATATACTGCACTATCATACAATCCCATTCGATCCACACATACAACGTAATATTAAGCTACTGTAGTATTGGTAGAGCCTCCCAAATCTCTCGGGCTAGAATGTGGGATGAACATAAATACAATAACGGAATGTAAATACTTTCATGTATGAAGACAAACACTTACTTCATATTTCACATAACCGGACATTAATTATTGAAATTAGTTATTGATAGACGTAGCTTCCACAAATACATTACAAATGCCTTCTGAAGGTTCATGTTCATGACGCAGTTGAACCAGGTAGTTTTACAGCAGGTATGATATCAAGAATGTTGTGTCATCAGGAACACTTTAGTTTAAAGCTAAAATGGGTATAGTTTGGTATTCCCACATGCACCATATATCCAGTGATCATCTAAACCACACTTATAAATGAACAATGTCGCGACCTGGCAAGTATAAATAACTTGGAGGAGCTGAAATGATATTAAGTTTAGTACACACTATGTATGTAATGCGATCATGTGTTTGTATTAAAGAAGAAAAAAAGTCAACTCTTTCGTAATATTTATCATTATATTAGTGTGCAACTCATTGATATCTGTTTATAGTTTTTAGAAGCTGCATTGACATCCACAGTTGCAAAATACACAAATGCAAAGAATATAATATTCAATAGTTGCAATTGCTATGACATTCTCATTCTTGCAATTGAATAAATGGTTTAACGTATCCGACATTAACAGTGCAAAATGGTCGTTCCTTTGTTCATATGCAAGAGGGAAACTGGAGCTGCTTTGAACAAAACACTGCGTGAATGTATCTATTATGTTTCTACATTAACAACCATGAACCGTAAAAAATAACAAAACCCTTTCCACAATCAAGAGACCCATTGTACGTATCCGACTACAATGTCATGCGTTGATGAGTCAAATAGTAATGATACATGATGTTCACGGAATGGTTACTGATGTGTCATATTTGGAAATGTTCTTCGAATGTCTCGCATCCAATAACTCTTGAACAATAGTGTCTTCAGTAAATCGGCATTTACTGATGCACATCTGAAACATAGCACATAAGTAAGGACGACGTCTATCATATACTGGTGAAATGATGATTATGAACACGTATGACAATTAAATATATGTGTCCAGACGAATTACCTTTGTTTTGTCTCTCTTCTATAGGCTATCACACAGATTATCCCCGCCATGGACAAGGCGAGTAATAAGCACCGGCAATGGACCATGTTAATATGTCTGTGCACGACGCCACAAGCTCCCCATATGTAATAAGAACTGAAAATATGTTTTGTTTTGACACGAGTGCATGAACTTTTCTTGACATGATTAGTTTCGTCCTGTAAACATGTTGCAAAACCTGTACATGAATATTTAACAAACAACATTACACACACGTTATATTTCAGTTTCCATCCCCAGATGTAACAAGAGTTTGCCACTAACGTGGCTATATCCCCCGCCCATGTTGCAGAATTTATGACATAATTTAATCTATACAAACCCTAACCTTTTTTTAACCGAGGTGGAACTTGTCATGGAAATTGTAAAAAAAAAGATGAGTTTGGAACCTAAGTCCATCTTGTTGCCATGGAAACGTAAACAATAAAAATGTCTAAAGTTTCCCCATAGCAAAAGGCACCAGTTCAGCATGTACCTGACAGGCCTGCAAAGTTTGATGAACCCATATTGAACGGTTTATGAATTATGCTCCGGAAACGAAACGTGACGGACGGACGGAAGTACGGACGGAGCCCGTTTCTATATCCCCCGCCAACTTCGTTGGGTGGGGGATAAAAAAACATGTATTATTCCATTGAATTAATTGAGCGACATAACCCTTTCCATATGCTAAAAGCAGAGTTGATTGCACGTATACATGCATGCCATGCGACACTATGTTAGAGCAGCGACTACTAAATAACGGATTACCATTCAAGTGAATTCAAGCATTTTGCATTTGCAACTATAATACATATACAAATAATACAACAATGTTAACATGAACAAAACCAAGTCGTTTCTTTTTCTGAAGAATACAATCTGATTATAATAATCATTTTTTATAATATATAGCAAGTATTCAAGTTGGTAAAACATATGGTCATTTATATAGGGACATTAATATTACCCAGTACTGGAATACCGCTCTGGGGTCTCATTGTATTATCATTTACTATTAAGCAATGAACCGCCATCGTGAACCTCGCTTTGGCGTTTCATTCGTGCTTGACTCATACAGATGTTTTCCACGACTATTGATGTGTATGTGTAGTGTATCAGTATTCATCAATATCACTTCCACTAGCGAAAAAGGCCCGACACTGTATGTAAAGCGATTTTGATTTTTGTGTCATCAGCACCATGTTCGTGCAAAATGGGTTTTCCTCAAACATGAAACTGATACGGCCTGATATAACTATAAAGTTGCATTAAACACAATACACCCTATATTACTCAATCGCATAGCTCACCTTTCCATGAATTGTTGCTAAAGTACAGTTGACAAGATTACTCACTTCCTTGCACGTATCGTGGTATCTGACACACGCGTAGTGGTCGGTGTTTGGCCTCATCTGCTCAAGATGTAAACAGTGTAACTTGGCTTGCTGAAGTAGGCTCTTTACAGTGTAATATTCCCACCCAC